AAGAGAGAGAGAGAGAGAGAAGTATTAATAAGTTAAGTTCAACATCTATAATTTATGGATAAATAAGTTTTTTGGTTGAAAATTTGATTTAATTTGAACTTTTGCACAATATTCCATTAGCATTTTTGTTGATTAAAGCTTATCAAATGACATTTTTCTAAGAAAAAATAAATGAAGTTAAAAATATGTGATTACACAGAAAAAAAGAGTAAAAAATCAACATTAAAAAAATGTAATAATCCAACTAATAAATACGCGGTTTTATAATTCACTAAATCGATTACAATCAATAGTTTAAAAGATTAAATTAATATAAATATTTACAAAAATTTATCTGAAGATTTAAAATATAAGGAATGTTAGTATATTTTTCAATAAATAAATAATATTATTAATTTAATAAGAATAACATTGGAAATAAGTTTTAATTAGTAATATATTGTAAATATTTTTTACAATGCTATAAATATTTTATGCTATTTTATTTATATATATTGATTTTTAACAAGTTTTAATTATTAATATATTGTAATAATTTTGTATTTCTTATATTTTTTGTATTTCTATAGTATTTAATATATATATATATATATATATATATAGATTTTTTAAAAAAATTGAGGGGGGCCCACGGGCCCCCCTGGCCCCCTTATGGCTCCGTCAGTGGGTCTCATAAGTCACAAACATAATGAATAACATTACAAATTATTCATTCAAACTTTTATTGATTGCAAATATATTAAAATAGTTTATATAACAACCATTAAATACCACTTCCAATATATTTATAAATAAAAAGTACATAAATTTCTGGTGTGTTAAAATTTAAATAAATTTTTACGGTTCAATTTTAAATCATCTAGACATTTGGTCAAACGCATAGGTGTGTTCAAATTTAATCATTGGCATTTTGTTTGGTTGATGTTCAAATCATCTACCATGATACTGTGATATGTAAATATATATATACAATTTTTTAATAAATAGTATGTGCTTTATAAAAATAATAATAATAATAATTTCACAAGATTTTAAACGTAAAATCTGATTTTAATCACAATAGAAAAATCATGGTAAGTTGTATTGAAAATGTGTTATAGGATAAAACAATTAAATAAAATACTTAAATAAAATACTTGATGGAAATAGAATGCATTAATTACCTTTGACTTTTTTTACTACTAATTCTAGTAAATAGGATTGCTTTTTATATAAGTATAGATTTTGTTTTCAAACTTTTTATCCAAACCTAAATACAAAGTATGATATTGTGACATGTGGGATTTCAAAGCATGCAAGCCTGTCATTTAGGCTCAACATATTTTGAATTAATATATAAGGGGAATATGCATTAAAAAAGTTGTAGTTTCGGATCAATTTATCGTATCTAAATTGTTAGACCCACTTGAAGCAAAGAAAAAACACGAGATGACAAATTTTAATAGTACACGGTGTATTCAATTGCGATTTTAAGTGTATTTTAAGATTTTTTTTTTAAGATTTAAGACTTTTTAAAATTCTCAGATCTTGAATGAAGTTGTGAAATCTTAAGTGCGGAGGTGTGATTCGTATCAGGTTTTTTGTTTAGTAATCCCGCAAAAGGTTAAAAAGTCCAAATCCCAGTGTCAAAGTTAAATACCTCATGATTGTGTAATTGTCTAAGACTTTTTAAAATCTCAATTTGATGTCCAAAGACTTTTAAAAGTCTTAACAAATCTAAATTAAATACATCAAAATTTGTTAGGTATCAAAAAGTTCTTAAAACTTCAACTGAATACACCCTCTAACTTGGTTCTGGTCATAAAAATACACTATCTTTACGCATTTAAATTTAATACACTAACTTCTCAAAAATATATAAAACTAATATCTATCTATCTATCTATCTATCTATCTATCTATCTATCTATCTATATATATACTAGAAACTTTCCGGCTGTGCTTAGCACAGCCGGCCCATACGGGTTATAATGTTTTTTTTTGGGTAATATTGGAAAGAGTTATTTATTTTGTGTAAATTTGTGAATAGGTTTAGCATATGCGGTAAATATTGTAACTAACGATCCCTCCAACATTGCACGAGCAACTCGTATGTAATCTTTAATATTGTTCTTTATTTAGTATACTCAATGTGGCTTATTATGGATAATAGGTGTGTTGTACCTTATAATTCATAGTTTTTGGCCAAATATAATTGCCACATAAATGTGCAAATTTGCGTTACTATATTAGCTGTCAAATATATTATGTTCATGGTTATTTTTAAATGAACCGGTAGTGTGTTTTGTTATTTTCGTAATGTTAGAATAATTATTTTTGTAACTTGATATTATTCGATCGTGCTAGACAGTTTATAAATTTAAGTGGAATTGTTTCTGGAGCGTGATGGATCGCTTTATACCGTTAGGGACAATTGTTCTGCAATCCTGTATTATTTGATTGGCTATGTAGACTTTTTTTTTAATTTTAATTATTTTTATTTTATGTTTTGTAATGACAAGTTTGTTTCTAAATCTATGACTTGACTGTGAAAGTTTATATTATTGTTTGTAGTGCACATAATTATTATTTCATTTTCATATATAATGAGTATGAAAAGTATAACATTACAAATTTAACAGCATTGAATTATTTTTAAAATTTAATTGAAAAGATGAGGGAAAAAATATAAAAATGTTAAAATAGGTGTAGATAAATGGATCACTTTTTACTGCAAATGTCAGAACACATTATAAGAAGTGAAATTGATTATATTAAGTGTCAGCAATGTAAAATATGAGATATATGTTTTTTATGCAATATTCGAAAGTATTGATGTTTGCTTTTTGTTACAGATAATATAATAAGTTTGAATGTAAGGCCAGAGTTTAAGTATATATGCACTAACATGCTGCAGTAATTGATATTCATTATGTTACCTGAGACAAACAACAGACATTATACAAAAGTTTATCCTGCAATGTTTGTGCAATTCTTAATTGCAACTGATAATATTCTCAAAACGAACATTAATATCTTCTAAGTTAGTATGAATATTCCAACTTAGAAAATATTAATATGCAAGTTCATAAAGTTTTTTTGGACACCATTATACACACAAAAAGCTTGTCTGGGAACAAAATGGATGGCATATTAGATCTTAAGCATTGATAATAATCTTGAGTTGTAGGTTTCAGGACAAAAGGAGTGTGAATTTTGAACTGCGCATCATGCATCTTTTTTTTTTTTGTTTTTTACTGGAAGTTTCAGCTGTTGGGTCTTGTGCGGTTTCATCACCTGGAACTTTTGTTGTGGTACTTGCACCACTTGATTCGACTTCAAAGTTGATTGATCTTTTGACTCATGTTCTTTTTTCTTTCTCAGGTGGAGCTGGTGATGGGGTATCAAGCAGAGAAGCTAGTAGTTTGTGTGCCGTTGGGGTTAATTGTTCTTCCACAGTCACCTGTTAACGTACATGTGCAATTAACGTATGGATTGTTATTCGCAAAAATGTTTGGCACGATGACTGGATAAAAATGTCTAAATTAAACGTAAATTATTCTATAGTTAAATTTATGTTAAACCTGTTTTCCAAGGGTGTGAGAATGAGCAGAAATGTTTGTTTCTTCCATAGGCATTATAGGTTCAATGTTGTCTTCATTGATATAAACAACAACAACAGCATAACCCGACTCATCGCTGCCTTGGTAGTCTGGAATGTAGTGTCTTATGAAACAAGTGATTTGTTTTTCTTCGAAGTTTGCTTCAACCTCCATGGCAGTTTCAATCTGCAAGTTATAAATGAAAAGAACACATTGTGTAGAGCAGGTTGGTTTATTAATTTATTCTAGATTGCATTTATTTGGTTGCAGGAGTAATATATGAATCATGACATTAAGTGTCTTGGAATGAACTTAAGTTAAATAAGAAAGAAATATAGATTTTGTACTTGGGTTTTGTTCAAGCTCATCTGGGCTGCTGTTAGTGGAAGTAATTGTTCTGCCTCTGGACCACTAATGACAGCTTGTATAAGGCCACTGTTATCTTCAATTCCCAAAGTAAACCTACACCTGTAATTGGTGTTGTAATGATAGTGTAAATAATATTATAAAGAACTTCACATTAGGTACTTGATTGTATGGTTTCATACCGAGGTTCAACTGGTCCTTCTATGTTGCAATGAATGCATGTGACTGTCCATCCAACTTGAGCCCTCAGACTTTTCTTACAATTTTGACAAGCAGTGAACCAGTAAGATGTTTGCCCATGCGTAAGAACTGCCTTTCCTCGAACCCAGGTGGTTTTCAACTAAATAAATTGAATATAATTTATATTTTGTTGAATGCAAATAACTGTATTGTCAAAAGTAATGTAAGAAAAATTATCACATACAATGTGCAGATTCTTCAATGCTGATTGTACAGACAGAATCTCAGATTCATTGGGCGGTGGGAAGAGAAATTCTGGGTCTGTATAGGCTTTTTGTTCGAGTAGATGGGCAACTTCTTCTTTATGTTCAAGGTACCTATAAATTTAATTGTATATAATTGTCATATATAATGTAGGGCAGACAATTAATGTAAGAAGAAATGTATTATTTATTACCAATGTTTTAGAGCAGCAGCTTCTGCCATGGGAGGATTAATCATTATGTTGCTGCCGTAAGTTGTCGTCAACGACAGAACTGCATATAAAAATTTTAAAAGAACAAATAAAAAAAAAAATTGAAGGTTTCTATATTCATAATGTTGTGCACTAGTGTGAAGAGAATATAAGAAAATTGAGGTAATACTTACGATTAAAAGTTGTTACCCTGACTCTCGTTGCAATGACAATATTCCCAGTAGGAACTGTATTTGCTAGCTGTTCACCTTCTTGTTTTGCGTACTCATTCCATAACGTTAAAATCATAGGTTTATTCCTATTTAAATTCATGAGGTTAAATGAAATGAAATGAATGCTGTTTATGTAGAATATAAACGTTATAAAATATATTCACTTACTCTGCATTGACGATAACCAGATTTTTAGTGTTTGGCTTTGACGACAAGTCTTTTGGCGACAGTGCGTGCACAACAATACCCATAACATCTGCAAAACATAAAGTACACTTTATTAATGCCTGTAAACTTTTGAGCAAATAATTTTTTCTTTATAAAAAAGATGTTAATTTGTAAAAAGTAGTAATAATTTTGGTGTGATTTAGTCCCTTTTTTTTCTCTTTTTTTTATTTGTTTTTTTGGTTCTTTCTCTTGTTTGATGGGTTTTCTTTTCACAACAGAGATTTGAGAAGTACTTTGTGTATGATTTGTTTCTGCAAACATGCGCAACTTAGCATATTCCTGGACTTGTATCTTGCATGGCAGTTGAGGTGGTAACTTCTCAGGAAATGGCTCAACCAATGTGCCTTTTTGTATAGTCCATGTGTAAGCATAATCACTGATCTGAAATTGTGGATTTGCTGGCTGCACTCGCGCTCCTGATATATAGTACCGTTTGTACTGTATGATGCGTTTATCCCAAAAGTCCACTTGAGATCCATAAACAGTTGAACCAACAATTGTTCCCTACATAAGTTATAAGCAAATTGAATTTTTTGGTATATTGGTATCTGAATGAACCTAGTATAGAATCTGTATAAAAGGATATATGTATCTCTAATTAAGCGAGATAAATAGTCTGTGGAAATGAAAACAATATTATAATGAATGTACCTGTGAATCAGTAAGGACATATCTTCGATAAGGCACTTTTTCCTGTACGACCAATTTCAACATGCCCTTTTTCAACTACCTGAACAATTGTCGTCCAACCTTCAGTGTTAAGATCAACTTGATTAATGTGAAGGTACTTCTGCGACATCTTGTCAAACCTTGACAACTACCCATTGAGGTACCGGAGAAAACAAAGAAATTTTAAAACACAAAAAGTAAAAAATAGAAGTAAAAATAAATAACTGTAAGCCAAAAAGTGCAAGCGATAAATATAATGAAAAGTACTAAGAAAAAAGAAGGAAACTGAATATTGAAATAATAACACAGTTAAATAGCATAATCAGTGTACTTGGAAAAGAAATAAGCAAGAGTAACTGCAAAAGATATTATGCAAAGTTACTGTTTTGATGCTTCTAAAATTTCTTTATAAACAATATTTTTTGTGTGTCTAATTTTTTTTCTATCAAAATAAGGCGGTTTCATAAGAATGGTAACATTATAGGAATATCTATCCCGTGATAAAGCTACATATAGTTGCCCATGCGAGAAAACTAGTTCTTTTAAATAAATGCCTACATAATCTAAAGTCTGTCCTTGTGCTTTGTTAATTGTCATTGCAAATGATAACCTTACAGGAAACTGTACTCTAACATAAGGCACTGGATATTGCTGATCACTTGGCGGTTCTAGCGGTATTCTATGTATAAACACTTCTTTGCCGGCAAAATCACCTACAATTATTTTTGCATGTATAATATTTCTAGTTAGATTTTTGCATCTTAACCTTGTTCCATTACAAAGCCCTTCTGTTGGATCTAAGTTGCGCAATAATACTATCGGGCAATTCTTCTTTAATAGCAACTTATGAGGTGGCATACCACTTGGTGTTAATGAGTTGATAATATCTTCATATTGACCTCTATGAGCCGGATTTTTAATTTCATCAAAGCTAAAGTATTCCACTGCATCACCTGGGAATCTATTTATGAGTATATCATTGACTTCATCAACAAAAGTGTTTCTTGTGCTTAGGATAGCTCGATTGATCGGAAAAATTTCAATATTTCGGTGGCACAAGTCTGGATAAACAATATTTATTAACTTATCTATATCATCAACATCGTTCATACATATTGTATTAATAAATGCAGGTATTCGAATTAAATTATTTGAATCTATTGGTTCAAGTCCATTTCCAACATTTAACAAATAGTTTGAAAATGTGGGATCTAATTTAGCGCGCATGTTTTCTGTCAACTTTATCTTCTGCAGACATGGCCAAAGCGGTGAATTAACTAAACAGGCATTCATTGTCTCAGTTTTATTTCCCCGCCGAACAACTGGTAACACTTGTCTAAAATCACCTCCAAACACTATTACTTTCCCTCCAAAGATTTTATTAGAATCTAACAAATCTTTTAGCAATTTGTCTAGTGATTCTATTGCTGATCTTTTAGCCATGGGTGCCTCGTCCCATATAATTATTTTGCATTCTTTAAGTAATACTGCAAGACTACTCTGTTTGCTTATCTTACAAGTTTCTCATGTAGACATATCTAAGGGTATCTTAAATCGTGAGTGTGCTGTTCTACCACCCGGCAAAATAGAAGCAGCAATACCAGAGGTAGCTGTAGCTAAAGCTATATATCCTTTTGATCTAATGTATGCTAGCAAAGCTCTATAAAGAAATGATTTACCCGTTCCACCAGGACCATCAATGACAAATGCACCACTCTCATTATTATAGACACGATTAGTAATTTGACGGAACGCATATTTTTGTCTGTCATTCAATAAATGAACTGCATTTAAGTCTTCTTCTAAGACTGTGATACTTTTCTCTGCAGCCAATTCTCTAGTTAAATGTGCAGAATGTAATTGTGGAACATCACCTGTTACAAGATCAAATGAAGTAATTGATTTTCCCATTGACTCTAAAAAGCAAGCAATCTGACCTAGAACTCTAGCCCTTATTTCACTTGCTGTGAGTGATGTATCTCTTTTAAAATCTTCAGACATATGTGATTCAAATTTTAGCCATAGATCTCTAGGACTATTTGGGCAGGAATAGACCAAAATATTAACAAAGAGTCTACGAAGCTCATATGGCATTTTAAATTGTACAGCTTCTTCCAAACACAAATATTGGCTGTCATCATTTTTTAACAAACCTCTAATTAATGCAGCTTCACGAAATGTTTTGGCGATAACACCATTATATGTCTTTAAATCGTCAAACGATTTTGGACAACGTACTTTCAACAGAAGTAATCTAAGATAATAACGTTCACCTTCATAAGGATGTGCAACCACTATTCTACCGATTGATTCTTGCCTTTCTCGTAGTTTCCATCTCTTTTCATTTGTAACCCAAACAAAATATTTAGGAAATTCAGCGTAAGTTAAATTTAGTTTTTGAGCATCCTCATTAGTTCTGTTCATATAGAAGAATTGTGTTAACATTGTCCTATCATTTAACGGATTTCTTACAATATTTCTTAATTTATCTTTTCTCTTAAAATGTATTCTTTGATAATTTGGTAGATGACACTGAAGATGTATTACTGCAGGTTTTATATCCCCCATTGAAAATCTAAAAATTCTCCAAGCAGCTTCAGGAGGATAAACCCATCCAGCAGCTGTGTATTGTTTAATTTCATCAATACTTTCATCTGGTTTGTCTGAAGAAAGGTGAAAATTTATCCTATCATGACCTTTACATATATATTTATAAATATATTTAACTGCATGTATAGTAGAGCAAATCTCGACATTTATATGACAATTATACTTAGCTAGCAAATATGGATTGTAAGGTACAACCAATCTATTATCTAGTTGTTGACCTCTAACTTTAATTTTCACATTATTTTCTCTCCTACGATACTGTGGAAAAGCACCTGAAACTTGTTTTGTTTCTTCACAAAAGGATTTAGGGTATGCAAACCTACACTTACCTTTTTTTGTCATGCATGAATTGTTTAAATTCAAAGTACCACAAGGTCCGTGCAACATATGTTTCTTAACCATGGCGTATAAATGAGGATGAGCAAGTTTATCTGGGATTTCAGCACACACAATTCTATCAAATTCTTCATTTCTGTAAAGCTTGAACTGTGGATGTAAAATTATTAGGAAATGTGCATGGGGTAAACCTCTTTTTTGAAATTCAATGACATATGTGTATGCAGCAACTTCACCAAAAATATTTTTTTTAAATAAATCATTTTTTAACTTTGTTAACTTAGCATTAAAATCTCTAGCAACTAAATCTGGTCTATTTTGAACCTCTTCAGAACGCAACAAGAGATTTTTTATTTCTGGCCAGTTAGGATTGCAAGTTATGGTAAGGAAAATGTCAGGTTTACCAAATTTTTGCACTAAAGTCATCGCATCAATATAACGTCTTTTCATATTTCTAGGACCTCCAATAAAACTTGCTGGCAAAAAAACTCTCTGACCTATTTTGGAACCTTCAGTTTCACCTGAAGCTAATGCATCTTGTATTCCTTGTAAATATTCATTTCTAATCTCTTGTTGTTGAAGTCTCAAATAATCTAGACGCTGCGACTCTAACTTAATATACATATCAATTATATATTGCTGGAAGAGCCGACCAGATCTGAGGAGAAAAGACTTGTCATTTTCTCTTATTTGCAATTTGTATGAATAATATGCTCAAACAGACACAAAGCTCACGTCATCGGGCGAAACAGACTGAGCTGATGAAAGTTTTATGCAGAAAATATGAAAAGGAAAATATTAGGTAAATATCAGAAAAATAAATGGAAAATGAAAATGTGCAGACTATTTATGAGAAATTAGATTCAGAAGTGAATATACAACACTTACCAGCAAATTCTGCGTCTAATATTTCATTTAAGTCCATTGCTAAATTAGGGTCAACATCTATAACTGAAGCTTGTTTATTGTTAGGTCGTACTGTACCTTTTTTTTTTAACACCTTGGTGCCAACCAACTTCTCCCAATGGGAAAATCAAAGGGTATTGCAAAGGGTCATAACAACCATAATAATAACTTATATTGTAAGAGTGACCTCCATGCGAATGTACAACTATGTTTCTTTCATTTGTTTGGCCATTATCATCATCCTCAACCCATAATGCAGCTACTTGCGAAACTTCTGGTTGATTAAAGACTCTTTGATCAACATCATGTAATGTTTTTAGTATAATTTGACAATCATCCAAATTAGGCACATCCTTAAGTCTCTTGAAAAATTTAACATACGGATTATGTTGAAGAACTGTAAGTATTTTTTCAATCAATGATTCAGTTAATCGAGGACATGCTTCCAGTCTTTTTGAAATTTCAGTATCAGTGTCATAAAAATATAACTGCAAATTTTTCGATTCAAAGAAATCATCTATGAAATGGTATATTTGACCTTGCACCCTAAATGTATAAATTCCATTATTATGTTTACTGAGCACTTTATCATAATGTACTCCCATCGAAGTGAAAGAAAAGTGATTATTAATTGTTCGAATGCAGGTTCTGAATAAGTTTGCTTCTAGGGATGTAGAAGTAAAAAGTTCTTGGAACATAGGAGGAGCTTCATTAGAAGGCAAGCATACATCTCCGTCTAAACAACACAAATGGCATGTTTCATATTCAAATTTTCTTGCACAACAATGCGGACAATCTGGAACATTCTTTAGAACCAAAGGTGTCACAGGAACAGACATAAGTCGTTCTCTACCATCTCTTAAATTATTTTTTTTTCTTTTTTTAACATCAACTCTATTATCCTGCATATTATTTAATGTCTGACTAACCCTTTTCCTAAGGTTTACTGCATTACTTGACTCTGCACAAGCATCATACAAGCCAGACCTTTGAACTGCAGTAATAGGTTCGAGTGTACAATGTCCATTATTCATATTAACATCTTTACAAATATCATCTCTCAAATGTTTTGTTTTTCTTTTTTTCACATTAACTCTCTTATCTTGCATATCGTTCGACGTTCTACCAACCCTTTTCCTAAGGTTTACCGCATTACTAAACTCTGCATAACCATCATACAGCCCAGACCTTTCAACCACAGTAATAGGTTCAAGTACACAATGTCCATCATTCATATTAACCTCTTTAGAAATGACAGTCGAGGTTTGAAGAGACTTA